GCCCTCTGGGGTTATTACAGTGAACATTAACTTAAGCATCCAGAGGCAAATTAAGCCATGCTGTCAGAAACTGAAGCATATTTCTCTCTTTGAGAATTTATACTTTCTGCTTTTCTCACTGAACTCATGAGTTCACGACGACCAAGCCAAGGGTGGAGCTAAAGTAGAGCTGAACGTTGACAACAGACAAGTGTTTCATTTGAGAGTCTTGGAGAACTGAGAATGCTGACTTGTGATATCAACACCACTAGGAACAATTTATATATGACTTTCAATATGATTCATGCATGTTACCTATAATACACACACACACACACACACACACACAAATGTTCCATTTGAGAGACTTGGAGAACTGATAATGCTAACTTGTGATATCATCACCTCTAGGAACAACTTATATATGACTTTCAATATGATTCATACATGTTATCTATTATATACACACATATATATCACTGCATACATACATGCATAAATAAATGTGTGTGCAGTGATCTGGGAGGAAACACAGTTTACAAGGGCATCACCATTTAATCTGCTCTACAGTCAGTTTTAGCTATCCCTCCCCTGTGTAAGGTCAGCTAACATTTCTAAAACTCAGCACAGCAGAATTTCCTTTGTATTCAAATGAGAGATTCTCAGTCAATTAGTTTATAGCAGAAAATTAGTAATCAGTGATGATTGCAAACACATTGGCCACAAGTGAGACTCTAGTCTTGTAATTGCGAATTTAATTTTAACAGATAAAAACAGAGAAAAGGGTAAGAAAAGAAGAAAAAAGAAGCAGTAGTGTAAATTACATAATTAAAGGTTACAATTGTTTTTAATGTGTTAACATAGCCTTCCACCAGAGGGCAACATTTGCAAGACATTTAAATAAGCCTTCCAAGTATTTCCTCACATAAACAAATGTAAACCTGCCTGACTGTTGTGGGTAATCCCTTATGTAAATACCAAGGTATCCATGCATACAGTTATTTGAACAATCATATATGAAATGCCTATCTCATCACAGATAAGCAGTAAGTCTCTATAAGAAGATTGAATTTTCAAAAAGAAACCTGCCTTTAAGCATTTTTGCCACCCTCTCCTTATATTATTATTAACCTTAAGCTTAAATATTGAAAGACCTTAACACTAGCAGCAAATAAATGATTCCTATCCAAAAAAAATAAACCCAGAAGCTGTGTGATTTTGCAAATACAATATATAATAGAGATAACTTACTGAAAACCTTTCTTTGTACCCACAAGGAAAGGAAAATTTATTCATGCAAAGTCATTGAGCATCTTATGACAGCAACAAAATCCGAACCAACCCCAAGGCAGTTGCTCTCAGCTGCCTCCTCCAGGCTGCTGGTGTTCAAAGTGTGATTCAGAGAGAGATGAGTCCTGGACACTTGGTAAGCTTACCTCATCTAGGGCTCCACCTGACCTCCTGAATTATTTCTCTGTTTTAACAGGATCTCTGACTATGGGAGAGTACCCCAACTCATTCTGCTCCATCATCCTCATTACCAGGCACACAGTTTACTGTAATTTGTAGAACTCATTCTTCTCTAGAAAATGGAGATAAAAAAATTCTCTGTTCAGAGAATTGCCAGGGATGAATGAGGTCACCTGAGTGTGAACCATTCATAAACTGTAATCTGTTATGCACATGAGTTATATGAATGAAAACCTGTAGGGAAAGCTTCCTCAGAGGGAAAGCAGATGGTGGAAGAGAGAAGATGGTTAAATTTAGACAGAGAATTTATTTACAGGGAAAAGGAGAGTGCCCATAGATGTGAAGGCTTTTAAAAGTATCTGTACATTGTATTCCTAAGGATCACAATATATTTGCCTAAAGACGAATCTAATGAATTTACTAGGACCCAAGGAGTTCATGATCAGCATTTGGAATTTTGGACCACATAAAGAAGGCTGAAGAAAATCTGTTGAGTTGCCAAAAAGGCACACTATAGTGGGGCCAGCTCCTCATGTGAGCAGAACCTGAGGACATCACTCAGTCTCTGGGAACTGAGCAGCAATTCTTGTAATTTTCTGTGTTCAGTACCTCCTCTTCTTCATGGCTATGCTTTATCTCTCCCCTGATGGGAATCTTCTCCAAATATCACCAGCCCTCTTTGTACAACCTCCCTGGCCATGAGGCTGTTTTCATTTTCTAGGTTTGAATTTCTTTTTACATATTAGGACAGACAAGGGTGTTTTGCCTCCTAAAATGTTTCCTGTACACCTTTTCAAATAATTATTTTATCATGTCTAATCTTATTCATAATTATTTCTAATGACATTTATGAGTATTTTCCACGTGACTTGTGAGATCTTTCAAGGGATGTTCCAGGTCTGGTCCAATTCTCTGCTTTCAACAAACGTGTTTAGAATGAGTAAATCAATATTAGCTCTTATTTCAATTCAGAGTATTGCTGGGAAAAGGAAGAAAAACGAGGTAGTATTTCTCAATGCCAATGAATGTAATTATTTACTCTAGAAGCAGTGTCTTCATGCCAGAGTACTATTTCTTGGACTATGTATGAATGATGCAGCCATGTTGGGTTTTGGTGGATTCACCTCTAGTCACCTGGGATGGACCTTGAAAAGGGTGCATAGGGGAATCACTTTTGCATCATCATCCCAGATATTTAATATCACTTCCATCTTCACATACACTTCCACAATGAACATATCATGGATATTCCTAAATAAATGTATTTCAGTGAGTTCAGTCGCTAAATGTTTGTACAGCTGTATTATGAAAGATGACTGTGTAAAACAAGTCCTGGGGGCACAGAATTTTGTTTGTGAAGAGACAATCTGATAAGAGGTTTCTTCTTTATATCCAATCTCCTATGGAAGTACATAGTGTTCACTGTGTGGCCTTCCAGGGAGACTTTTTTGAAGATGAATTTATAGTTTTTTAAAATATATAATATAATATTATATTATATATGATATATATTCCTATGATGCATATGTACTAAAGTAATAAAAATATGCTACTAAAATCCTTTCCCAACCATACTGCCTAGTTAAAGATAATTTTGCCAGCATTGCATTTAACAATTACAAAGGTGTTTTTGTCTTTGTGATTTTTGTCATCCCTATCTTTGGAAAATACAGTTTTCACACATCATTTAAAATAGTCAGAGAATGTTTTTATGAGATTCTGCATGTACAGTTATACCTCTGGGATGCAACCCGACAGTCCCTATAGGAAACCCACTCTCCCTGTTGGTTCAAATAGCATTCAAAGTTTGACCTTGAGAATGTCGCTCAAGGCCAGTCTGTTTCATAAACACTTGCCTGAACTGCATCTAAGAGGGCTATAGCCCATGTGGATGGCATTAATAATTTATATTTATTCAGCACTATTTAATTGTTTTGCTTAATGAAATAAGCTCACTCATGTTATACATATGCATCCAAGATGGAAAGTCTTGTGTGATTGTCTCTCAAAATAAACAAACATCAACAGCAAAAATAACTTCCCTCTTGGGAGAAGGTATCATAAAGGGGAAAAGATAAAATTTCAATAGAATGTAAGTATATTGAAATAAAATGTTAAAACATTACCAATTATTATTTGCTGACAATTATAAGTATAGGCATAAATTTTACCTGTATGGAGATAATTCAGCAGTGTGCTGTGTATTAGGTCATTTAAAACAGCTTAGGATCCCGAAGAGTTCATATCAAACTGCCTGTCGTTTACTTAACAGAGTGCTCTAAGGCTACAGATGTCATTTTCCTTCTGTGTATCCTCCTTCTGTCTCCTGCCTTCTTTGTCCCCCTCCATTTCTTTCTCTCTACATCCTTTGTTGTTCGTCTTAGGAGTTGAATCAAACGCAAACAATATTATTATAAATCCCATAAACATTTGCTTTATATCCGAGGGATACCAGGTGTTCCTGTGGGCACCACACACCTAAGGAGAAGCTCCTGCAGTGTTGCTTCCCCGCCATGCTGTCAGAGCTGGCATGGCCAAGCTGGCCAAGCAGAGTAACTTGTCAGTGCTTAATAAAGCCCTCCTCCCTTGCAGAGCCAAATGCAGTTTTCCTCCTGAGAACTCTGCAGACGATGACATCTCCCCACTTGGTTTCCATAGCATCCATTCCTGAAGAGCCCTAGAAAGGCCCTTGGTCAGGGCTGTGCTCCCAGCTCCCCTAGGAAGTTAGCAAGCTGGCTAGCCAAAAGCAGCATTCTGGGTTCCTGAACTTCCTCTGTCCGTGGTGCTGAAATGCTTAGCTGCGACTCGCGCACACTGATGGGCGCGGTCAGCTTTTTTGGAAAGTCTCCCCTGAGTCTGCCTAAATCACAGCTGTGTGTCTGTTACTCACTCTCGTTCGCAAAAAGCAGCTAACCTCAGTCTAAATTCGACTCTGCCACTCTGCCGCAGAGCATACTTACGCTGGCGCGATGGGAGGAGACCACGTTAAGGCAGGAAGCTAACAGCAGCTTAGCTCACCTGAGGCCTGGGAAGCTCCCAAGGGTTCTGAGAGCTATGAGCTCTGATCAGCAAAGTCACCGTTTTAGACAGTAGGGGTTCTTTTGCCTTTCCCCTAACACAGGGTTCCGTAGCGTTTCTGTTTCCTCTGATTAAAAGCCAGCGGATTTATTGCAATAAGCCTTCAAAACCGGGAATTTGCATTGTTTTTCTGTGAGCTGACTTCCAGAACAAGCACTCCTCATCAGCACCCGCCCAAATACCACGGCACTGCGCGCGCCCTCGGCCACCGGATCCTCCCCTTCCAATGAGACTTTGTGACTCTGTGTACCAATTCTCCTATTAGGAAGTCCGTGGGCTGCATGCAGCTCTTCTGTTGTCCTCTCTTTCTTGCTCTCTCTCCTCTCTCCAACTCACAGCCTGGCTGGAAAGCTCACCTCTGTTTGCTGAGAAGAAAAAGCCCTACCTTAACCGACCAAGACTATGCGCAGAACTCGCCTTTCATAGCCATCATAATTTAAATCTGGCAAGGTTGGACACCAGTCTTTACGAGAATGGAGTCGGTAAAACAAAGGATTTTGGCCCCGGGGAAAGAGGGGATAAAGAATTTTGCTGGAAAATCCCTCGGCCAGATCTACAGGTAAGAGAAAGAAGCCCATGCTCACCTGGGGCTCACTCACTATGACAGAGGCCATTTCTGTAAAGCTTGGTTATTTAGCGAGATTGTAGCATGGTGGGAAAGTATTTTTCTTGCTCATTGCTGAATCAAGGCTACATTGAGAACCTGTTTGTGAATGCAGGGATGTAGTATTAAATGCACCTGTCGTTTTGTGTGTGTGTGTGTGTGTGTGTGTGATTTTGTGTAATTACCTGGGGATTCTCATGTCTTCCAACCCAACTCTTAAACCTCCTTTACAATCTTGAAATGTCCATTCAGCACCTATTTAGAAATCCTGCTGCTTTTGCTTATAAATTTCCCAAATTTAAATTCCTTTGATCCAGACAAGTGAATAACAAAAGCCAAATCCCTTTCAAGAATAAATGTCAAAAACTAATGATAAAAAGAAATTTAATCTCAGCTGCAGAAAAATAATGAAGACTTTCTCATGGGAAATTCTGTATTGAATGAAACTGGATCAAAAAATATCAATAGTTGATCATTGATGTTTCTCTCATGAACCTAAAAGGCCAGATATGTACTTTTATTTGTTTGCTATGTAACAAATAATTATGTTATTAGACAGTTAGGAATCTTTCTCTTGTTGGGAAAAGTCACAGTAATTTAAGAACAAATAGAACCATAAACTGAAAAATTATTTTGAAAGTAATAGAAAAATGTTTAAATCCTATGCTTTTCATAATCATTCCACTAAGCATACTATAGTTGGTATGATTCAGGTCCTGCTAGATGTGTTATATCTTATATGATATAATTTTTTTGTTAGTGATATAAGCAAAATAAAGGAGAGAGCAGAGAGAGTAGGAAAGTGGGTTCTGAAAAGCATTCATTTTTACATGTGGAAACTGAAGCCTTGGCTTCAGTGAGAGTTGTAACCCAGATGACCCGTGTACATCTCTATTTTCAAGTGGCTTGGTTCAGGTGGGCTTCAGCAGGCACCATCACGCACCTCTGCGGCAGTAGATGCTGCAAGCACCCTGCAGTCTTGCAGCTGTTTGAGACCTCTGTGAGGTCGGAAATTCGGGTGCAGAGTTCATCTTTGTAAATGTTGGTATACAAAGTCAAGGCAAAATAATCAAACCCATTAAATTTCTTCTTTGTATAAAGAAATGCTTTGTTTCTGGTACTTGGGTTGCATATCTGTGATAAACACCCACGTAGTCTATCCACAGACACATTAATTACCTGTTCTGTAGTGGAATTTGATACAATTTGAAGAGAGCTTCAAGTTTCTTGGCAGCCATAGTCCAAGCTATAATGTTAAAAATTTTACAGACTTCACCGGTGTGTGTGTGTGTGTGTGTGTGTGTGTGTGTGTGTGTAATCAGTGGTGCACCATTTAATGATGGGTATAGGATTTAAAGTATCTACAAGAGGGATTGAGAAAAAGTTGACCAATTGTGTTGATATATCAAAAATACCAGTCTCATTAAAAGAAAGCTATTGATTTTTAACCTGTTTTCTTATAAAAATAGGAATTTTATGGATGTGGTAGATATGAGAACAACATCCTCTTTTCTCAGGGCCATTCTAACACTCCAATCCTCTTTTCCTTCCCCAGTCCTACAAGGATCAGAATTGATTGAGAAGAGTCAAATCTTATGAAATAAAACGAGATTTCCTCTTAGTGGTACAGAAGGTGGTGTGGGTGCCCCTCAGTAAATCCGAAAATCAAATTTTCTGTGTCTGGAAATGGGCCCGTAATATTTTCTGTGTGTTGTAGCTGAGATAGTAATGACGCAAGATTGTGACTGATTAATTATTCATGTTGTAGGAAGGAAGCTGAAGTGTCAGACATATGCTGCGGAGGCCTTTGTTTCTAACAGGAGTAGAGAGAGAGAGAGAGAGAGAGAGAGAGAGAGAGAGAGAGAGAGAGAGAGAGAGCAAAAGAGGGAGGGAGAGAGGGAGAGAGGGATGGAGGGAGAGAGAGTGAAGGATGGAGGGAGAGAGGAGAGAGGGAGGGATGGAGAAAGAGAGAGGGAAGGATAGAGGGGGAGAGAGAGAAAGCGAAAGAGGGAGGGAGAAAGAGGGAAAGAGAGAGGGGGGAAGGGAGAGAGGAGGAGGGGGAGGAGAAGAGAGAGAGAGAGAGAGAGAGAAGGGGAAGGAGTGATGAAGCAGTTCACCAAGGTAGAGGATTGGGAAGTGTTTGACAGGGTAGGATCAAGGAGCTGCACCTGGATAGAGTTGTCCCTAACCTGTCAGGCCCTTCTCAAGCCCTGGAGTTGAGGAAAGGACTCACAGTAGCCTGCATTAAAGCACCTGTGAGCCAGGGAGGGCATCCAGCAGGGGACACTCTTTTCCCAACCCTCTCCCTTTCACCCTGGTGACCTCAAAAGTTAGGGCCAAGGGAATGTGAATGGAGATCAGAAAGATGATAGAACTGGGGTTCCCCGAGTTAGGCCTGAGGGTATTAAGGTGTAGGTGCTTCTGCCCAGGAAGGAGTGTAGAATTTTAAACAATTTAAGAGTACCTAAGCTCCGTATTCCCAGCATTCTAACTAGTCAGCAAGAAAGAGGTCAGAGACCAACTCGCCAGCTCCTGAGGGTCGAGGAAACTGAATGCTGGCTGAGCTTAGGGCATCTTTGTCCCCTAAACTCTCTGGGGGAGGTGCCTAACCATAGGCATCCTTGCTTCTTAATCTGACGCCCAGGGTACTGGAGAAGAAACAAGACACCGGTGAAACCATTGAGCTGACAGAGGATGGCAAGCCACTAGAGGTGCCTGAAAAGAAGGCTCCACTGTGTGACTGCACCTGCTTTGGCCTGCCTCGCCGCTACATCATAGCCATCATGAGCGGCCTCGGCTTCTGCATCTCCTTTGGCATCCGCTGCAACCTGGGTGTGGCCATTGTGGACATGGTCAACAACAGCACCATCCACCGCGGAGGCAAAGTTATCAAGGAGGTGGGCATTGGCAAAGCCCCAGTGGGAACTCCCTCCGCTAGCCACTCACCTGTCTAAGCTTGTTTTCTCCACTGGAACCGAAAGGTTTGCATGTTGTCTAGACCTTCCCTCGGTCCATGTATTCTGGAAAGGACCACTAGAGTGCTATTATCTCCCTTTTTCGCTAGGTTCCCGGCCTCTCCTCGCTCATTTGCAAGACGTAAAATAGTGTCTAGCTCACTAGATTCATATAAAGAAGTACCAGCTAAGAGCTAACAATATTTGTTAAATCTAAAAGAAAGCATTTTTCTTTAACTGGAAAGTGTAACATTATAAAGTTCCCCTGGCTCCCTTCAGATCACACCCGCCCAGGAAAACAAAGTTAAAAACAGAAAACTTGTTTTGTTATCTAACTCAAACAAGCAACAAATCCTGCAGTCAAATTACCATATGTATAACTGGTTTCACCAGCATCTCTTTAGGCAAGAACAGAATTCCAGCTGGGAGAGAAATACCCAGCTGGGTAGGGAACTCTGCTGTTTGTGAAAGTGGTAGCAGTGAGGTGGGGTGAAGAGGGAGAGGGCGAGCTGAAGGTCACAGAGACCTTTCCAGGGACCTTAGTAAAACTGCTTCGTTTGGTGGCAGAAACTGAGAACACTCTGAGGAGCCAAACTAGAGTCCCTGGGCCCTCTGGAGCCCAGGATACTCAGGACATTCTCATTGCAAGAGAAATAACGGCAGTCCCAATTACCCGGGCAAGGTAACAGCTTAGACCTTTACAGTAATTCAGTAACTTGCAGATATTTAGCTCCAGGTTTATGAGAGGCGCATCTTGTGCTGTGGACCAGTGTGGTCTGGGCGCAGTCAAGGCTTGACATTCACACAGCTCTGAAACAGAACCTTAGCCGCTGCCCTCTCCCCGCCACCACACACCTTCTCCAAACTCTCTGCCAGACTGTTCCCAAACTCTTTTGTCCTGCCCACCCAGATTTGGTGGAGACACCTGTTCTGATCCCTTCAAACCTTTTTTTCTCCCTGCGTTCCTCTTGAGGGTTGCATTTTATTATGGGAGTCACCCCACTACTGCATTCTTACTGGCTGGCAACAGCCAAAAGGACCTTAACCAATATTCTTTTCGGAGAATCCAAATGTCTTAACCCTGTTAAGGAGGTCCCAGGTTCACTGACCACAGTCCAGTCCGCAAGGAAGCTTGGTGGCCCGTATTTCATTGGGAATCACAACACCTTTCTTTTAAAAGGAGTCCCTCTTGTCAGCAGCTATTTTGTTACGAAACGAAAATTAGGCCCCTGACCTCGGTGTTGCAGAAAATGTCCTGCGTGTTTAAAGGTTCATGGCACACAAACCTCCAAAAGGGAATTAGGAGCGCTGACTCTGCTTTGCCACCCCTGACCTGTTGTTTCTTTGTGGTTTTCCTCTGTTCCTATAGAAAGCCAAATTCAACTGGGACCCTGAAACCGTGGGGATGATTCACGGCTCCTTCTTCTGGGGCTACATCATCACCCAGATTCCGGGTGGATATATCGCGTCGCGGCTGGCTGCCAACCGGTAAAGCTGCGGGGAGTCTGTGGTTGGGTCTCCCGGCTCGTTTTCGCGCAGGTTCTAGACCGCCTGGGGAGTTTGGAAACTCCCTGAGGGCGTCTCCTTGTCTCTGAACACGCCTCCCACGCTGCAGAACTCCAGTGGAGCCTTGCCGGCTGAAAGGGCTAAGGTTTTTCAAGCCCTTCTTTCTACAGGAGTAGGCCAAGGCTTGTTAGAGAAGTGTCCCCATAGTATGCGACTGCGTGTGTGGGGGCAAGCGCGCTCGCGGGCGCGCGCGCGCGTGTGTGTGGAGGGGTATCTGTGTTGGGTGCTGCAAAAAATGGGGCAGTGATGTAAGGCACACAAGTGGGAGAAGAAGGGAGTGCTCAGTCAAGTGCCGGGGTGGTGCGGACCTCTGTCAGGGCGCAGCAAAGGCTAGCCCCTAACAGCGCCCAGTTGGTGTTGTGAGCCTGGAGGATTTGTTTCTATGGAGCCAGGCGGGCTCTAGGGCTCTCGGAGTGCGATTCCACCTGTTAATGAGCTCGGTGCTTAGGGGCGGGAGTGAGCTGAGCAGCTCAGCTGAGTCCCAGGGCCTCAGACTTTCAGACCTGCAGTGGTGGCGGGAGTCAAGGTCCTAGCGCCTTCTTTCAGGGGCACCCCTCCTCCAAGATTTACCTACAGAGGCACTGGCGGTATAAAGACTTGTGAGTGAAAATACCAAGGAGCAGGGCATGACTACCGGGGGACTACAGATATTTCTTAGCATAGTAATTTGCTATAGTAAATAGTGTAGTTTGCTTCACTGAGTGTATTTTAATGAGAAATCAAACCAACAAAGCTAAATGTCTCTCTGCGTCTGAACCCAGGCTGAGCATTGTTGTCCCCCGGGTTCTGTGGCTTACAGATGCCACGTAAAAATTCCCGGGTTTTCTTGAGACCTCTGGCGTGTAACGCCTCCCCTCCTCTACCACACCAGCGAAGTGGTCAGCACCTGTAGGCTTTGGTTCAACCTTTCTTCTCCCGAGCGCTCACTTGCATCTCTGGCCCCATCCCCAGGCTTATCCTCCAAGGATGCAGACTGAAGAGGCTGCGCGGTTTCGAGGCCTCCAGGAGAAATCTTGGAATTTTATTTTAGTCGTTTAGATCGTACAAGTGGCGATTTCAGGGCGGCTGGCCAAAATGTCAAATGGAGAGAGACTAGTTAGAATATCTTTTGAGTATGATCTACAAAGGGTGAGGGCTCCCAGCACTCGAACCCAGAAGGTGGCTCCCTCTCTGGTAAAACAAAGCAAGATTAAAAGACTAGCAACATAAAAATCCCAGTTTTATGGGCTCGATAAGCAAAAATTTAGTAGGAAGAAATTTTTAAAGAAAACATTCACTTTGTTGACGCTTAGTGATTAAGAACACATTGCAACATTCTGCGTTTTGCAAATCTGTAATAAAGGTTTTTTTTTATTTTCCCCAAAATTATGGCTTAAAATGTATATTTTCTGAAAGTTACTATATATAAAATATTTTTAATTCAGGGAAAAACAACAGAGAATTTACTGACAAATGGATAAATAAATCATTCTAAATGATATCAAAAATCTCAACTCAAGGTCATAATTATGCTTTGAGAGTTGTGGCAGACGGGAGTTCTCTGCTTGCAAAAGGTAAATGGCTAAGGAGTTCCTGTCAGGAACAAACACCAAGGATTCCAGTTTTTCCTGTTTGGGATAGCAGAAAAACAGATTTTTCTGATTTATTTTATTTTATTAAGCAAGCTTATTGCAAACTTTGGAGTCCCGTCTACCAAGGATGAGCGGCTGACTAGGTACCAGGTAGCTGGGGGTGATGGGGGGGGGGTTCTTCAAAGGAAAAACTTGGAAGCTTTAGAATTCTAATTTGGATCCAATTGTTGTTACCTTTAAACGGATATTCAAAGGACAGACTCCATACCTCCAAACATGATATTTTAACCTCTACCAGCCTGAGGAAGTTCACAATGTAGCAAAGTATCACGAAGATACAGATTTAGAGAGACACACTTTTCAGAGCTTTGACATATTTGCTTCAGTTTTATAATTCAGCAAACCTTCTGAGCAGGCATAAGCTTCCTGTGAAAATAGACCAAATGGCGAGGACATTTTCTTTTCTACTGATAAAAGCCTTACTTGATCAATAAGAAAAAGCAAAACCTATCTTAAGGGAAGATGATCAAAATCATAAATAATGCAGCCAACCAGATGCTTCTGTTTTTAAATATGCTTTGAATGTTCATCTGGCGTTAGAAACTGTACGTAAGATTTTGTCCCAAAAAGCTCTCTACACACGGACACATGACACTCTTGTAGAATTGATTGGAAAAATGAATGTCTCCTGCTATTTTTCTTTTCCCAGAAATAGCAAAACACCATGGGGCAGGTCTTTGCAACTAGAGACCTGCCAGCCTGTTCATTCACGCTGCTGCTTGCTCCTCCCCCTTCTTCTTCTCCTCCTCCTCCTCCTCCTCCTCTTCCTCCTCCTCCTCCTCTTCCTCCTCCTCCTCCTCCTCCTTCTCCTAGGCTGAAATTCCCTGGGGCACAGAAGATAGCTTCTTTTCCCTCTTGCCTTAAAGAGGCACTTTGGAAAGTGTTTGCCCTAGCTGTTAGTGAGGAAGAAGCTGTGTGGAGACTGTTGGAGGAGCAGGACAGGACGGAGGGGGGCGGGGGGGGGAGTGGAGGAGCTCCTAACTATGCTCTCTGCTCATTTCTCAATGGAAAATAAACAGGCACATTAGACTTCTCCATTTTCTTGATAAGTGAAAACAGCTTGCTCTTGGTCAGGATTCTGACTCTGGGTCATTTTATTGATCAAATTCTAAGTCTTTTTCTTTCCTGTTCATTAAGAGGAGTTGCTGAGGGAGTCAGGAGGGAAGACATTCAGTTCAGTGGAGCACTTTTTACACTCCCCTCCCTTTGTTTCTCCTTGAGTCACTGCACTCAGTGGGAGAAGACTTCAGTCACCTCCAGGGAGGGCCTTTTGCTGAGCTTTCAAAGGGGGACTCCTTTTAAAATCCCTAATGCTTTAAGATGAGGACATATTTAAAACAGTGATAAAAATGTTGGGGCAAATCAGTACAGGGCATCTGAGATGGTGGGTTAGATGCTGACAAGGTATGTATTTGTCCTGCATCTAGGCTATTGTAAAGGGCTGTGGCAAGTGTTTAATTACAGGACCATAACCAATATTTTTTTTGGGGGGTAGACATAATTAAAAAAGGCCAAGGACATTTGGTGGATATATTTTCAATGTATAACAATGTAACTGTCCTTGCCAGTATTACTTAAACCCTTTGTAGACATTCCCCCACCAGCTCCTATCCTGTCTAGCTCGCACCGCACTATGGGCACCAGCAGGATCACAAGGCTATCTTGTTCTTCCCTTGGTCCAATGCCTTCTTTCTTCCAATTCGGAGTCTTATCTGTGCTTCTTTGTTTGTATTTTCATGGTGACATCTCTGCCATGTTGAAGATTACCTGACCCTGATACATATTTGTTAAGGAAACCAAATGAGATTTAGTCTCCAAAGCCAGACCTTATAGCTTCAAGATCCTGAATATGTTACTTAATAACTTCCAGGCTCAAGAGTCTTCCTTCTTTCATCTTCTTGTCAAAACCAAAGGGCCTACTTCATTTTGCTGTCCTGACAGCTAAAAGAGAGGTTGCATATGAATATGGGGAGGTATTCAGAACTATGTAATTGCTGACACAAATTTAAATTAAAAAAAAATTAAGGACATACTCTGTGATCATTAATCTTATTTGTTTTAAAATAGTACGGTAAATGAATTATTTCCACTGTGACAGTAACATCCATGTTCATGTGCTGTATTTTTGCTTTAAGAATCAATTCTCCCAAACTGATTATTTAGAATTAGATTATTGTTCACTAAAATTATACAAACCTCACCTGAAAGCTTGAAAATGGCTATTTTTAAAATGGCAGTATCAGTCAAACATGCAGAGAGTGCTGGGAATTCTGTGCATTTTATCTTTGAGTTCTAGTCTGGGGTAAGTACATCTAAGGAAATTCATTGAAGTTAGGGGTTAGACTTCTGCTTTGAAGGCTGCAGTCATTTCTCTCTTCTCCTGTCCTCTAAGGAAGGTAATCCACAGTGCATTGTTTTGTCTTTATAATGACTTCTGCTGGAGAAAAGAAAAAGATTTTAATTTTTAAAATGTTTGTTTGGCTAAGAGAAAGCGAACCATACTTCTTGCAGCACGTTCTTCTCCTCTGACAAGGGATCCTGTCCTGTTAAAGATGGACAGAGCTCATCAGGCCCAGCGCCCCCCCACCCCCCGCGCCCGTTTTCCAAAATAAATATGAAATATAAAGCCAAGGAGAGGGTGCCATCCATCTTGCAAAGAGACCCCATCAGGCTCCTGTACTGCAGGAGCACAAGCTTATTCTACAAGGAGTGTCATAGCCCTGCATCCCACTGTGGGTTCCATTGTGAGGCTCACTTACAGATTCAGACTGAGCCATCTGCTCCTTGAATGAAGACTCCAATCTGTCATGCCTCAAATCCAGGGATAAATCCATGAATTAGAGATCACAAGCCCAAGGGATCCTTGGTGTATTTTTTTTTTTTTTTGAGCAGAAGCATACACGCTGTGGGGGTGTTCCTCTCTGTGTGTATGTCTGTGTATATGTGTCTGTCTGTGTCTTTCTATGTGTCTCTAGTGTGTGTTTCTTTCTCTTTCTCTGTGTGTATGTGTATGTATGTGTTTCTCTCTCTGTGTGTATATCTGTGTATACATGTCTATCTATGCCTCTAGAGTGTGCATGTGTGTGTGCATGTGTGTGTGTTTGTGTGTTCCTCTTTGTGTATGTGTCTGTCTGTGTCTTTTGTCTTCTCTCTCTCTCTCTGTGCATGTGTGTGTATGTGTGTTCCTCTCATAAGTGTGTATCTGTGTGTGTGTGTGGGTGGGTGGGTGGGTGTGGGTGTCTGGGTGTCTTGGAATCTAAACTCCTTTGCCACAGTGTGATTCTGTTCTTT